GTGGGGGGTAGGGGTAGGGTTCGCACGTGGCCCCCTACCCCCGCGCGGCTGGCGGGCCGAGGAAAAAGCTGCCCTTAAAGGCGGAACGCACGTGTCCTCCCTCTACCCAGACCCCCTCGAGTCATGAAAAAATCACGACGGGAGGGGTTTTCGCCATTTCGAGCCTCTGGGAACCTTCACCGGCCCTCAGGACCGTCAAAAAACGACTCGGGATAAAAAACCGGTACCGGGGAAGGGGTCCGGACCTCTGGGGGCCGCGTCATGAAAAAATCATGACGTCGGTGGTCTGGGTATGGAAGAGGGTTATTCAAAAATGGACAAAAAAATGTCTGGAGACGATCTTCAAAAACTTCTCGATCATTTTGGAGCACTTGTTGAGTCTCTTGCGTCCTTCGTCGAAGAATCCGCCTGTAGGAAGACTCGCCCGACCTGAAGCTACCCAGTGACCAGGCGCGGCTGGCGGGCCGAGGGAAAAGCTGCCCAGGATGTTCCCAGCCCAGGCCCCCTCGCGTGGTGAAAAACTCACGACGGGAGGTATTTCGCCATTTTCGGCCTCTGGGCGCCATCCCCGGGCCTCGGGGCCGTCAGAAATCGACTCGGAGGGAAGGCCCTGGGGAATGGGTCTGGACTTCTGGGGGTCGCGTCATGAAGAAATCATGACGTCGGGGGTCCGGGAACCCCTTTCTCCGCGGAGGGCGACTAGTTATACGAACGCTCCATACAGAAAGAGCACAATGCGAGTTGTGCAGCACGCTGCATGGAATCTTCCGCCAAACAATATCGCGCCACGCGCGTCGAGCGTCTGCGCAATTCAGATAGCAGAAATGACGGCAGTCCCCCCGAGTGAGCCGCGAGGTCTCGACTCGATCCGCGTGGCCTGGCACCTTGACGTGCGGCCCAGGAGCCCACGAAAGTGGCGACAGGTTCACAGTTCACAGCCTCTGAGAGAGCCGCGAGGTCTAAAAGTAATCCACGTTGCTATCACCTCGGCCATGCCTCCCAGGAGCACACGAAACTGGCGACAGGTGTGCAGTTCCGAGCCCCCCATGGAGCCGCGAGGTCTCGAAGTGATCTGCGCTGCCATCACCTCCGCCGTGCCTCCCAGGAGCCCACGAAAGTGGCCACAGTTGCGCTGTTCGCAGCCCCGAGGGAGCCGCGAGGTCTCGAAGTGACCTGCGTTGTCCTCACCTCCGCTGCGACTCCCAGGAGCCCACGAAAGTGGCGACAGTTGCTCAGTCCGCAGCCCCCGAGGGAGGCGCGAGGTCTCGCCTGAATCCGGGCTGCCCTCACTTCGCCATGCCTCCCAGGAGTCCGCGAACGTTGCGACAGCTGCTCAGTTCGCAGCGCTAGGTCTCGCCTTGGTTCGCGCTGCCCTCACCTTCGCCGTGCCTCCCAGGAGCACACGAAGGTGGGGACAGCTGCGCAGTTTGCAGCTGCCAGCGGAGCCGCGAGGTCTCGCTTGGATCCGCGCTGCCCTCACCTCCGCGGTGCCTCCCAGGAGCCCGCGAAAGTAGTGACGACAGTTGCGCTGTTCACAGACCCCCAGTGGAAAGGTACGGATGCAGGAGGAGCCGAGGAGAAGGAGCCGAGGAGAAGGAGCCGAGGAGGAGGAGGAGGAGGAGGAGGAGGAGGAGGAGGAGGAGGATCTGCTGCACTCACCTCCGCCGTGTCTCCCAGGAGGCGACGAAGGTGGCGACGGCTTCAAAGTTCGCAGCCCACGATGGCAGCCACGGGGCCCCAAAGGGTCTGCGCAGCCCTCGCCTCCGCCGTGCCTCCCAGGAGCCCGGCGGGGTCTCGCCTCGATCTGCGCTGCCCTCACCTCCGCCATGCCCAGGAGCACACGAGGGTGGCGCGAGCTTAGGGGGCCGCATGCGAACCCAACCCCTACCCCCCACGAGTTCTGAGGGGGAGGGTGGGGTTCACCTCGTTCGGGAGCCCGCGAGCGAAGTGAACCCCACCCTCCCCCTCAGAAATCGTGGGGGGTAGGGGTAGGGCTCGCATGCGGCCCCCTAGAGCTTCACAGCTCGCAGCTCCCAGCGGAGTCGCGAGGTCTCTCAGTGATCGGCGCTGTACTCACCTCCGCCGTGCCTCCCAGGATCCCACGAGGGTGGCGCGAGCTTCAGAGGTCGCAGCTCACGATGGGAGCCGCGAGGTCTCGAAGTGATCTGCTGTGGCCTCATCTCCGCCTTGTCTCCCAGGAGCCCACGAAAGTGGCCACAGTTGCGCTGTTCGCAGCCCCCGATGGAGCCGCGAGGTCTCGAAGTGATTTGCTTTGCCATCATCTCCGCCGTGACTCCCAGGAGCCCACGGAAGTGGCTACAGTTGCGCTGTTCGCAGCCCCCGAGGGAGTCGCGAGGTCTCGAAGTGATTCGCTTTGCCCTCATCTCCGCCGTGACTCCCAGGAGCCCACGAAAGTAGCCACAGTTGCGCAGCTCGCAGCCCCCGAGGGAGCCGCGAGGTCTCGAAGTGATCTGCTTTGCCCCCACTTCCGCCGTGCCCTTGAAGAGCCCACGATGGTGGCGATAGCTGCGCTGTTCGCAGTCCCCGAGAGAGCCGCGAGGACTCAACGTGATACGCGCTAGACTACACCGTGCCCCCCAGGAGACCACGAACGTTGGCGGCAGTTGTGTACACAGATCGCTGCCTTCAAGTGGGAGCGGTACGAGCGAGGGAGGCAAGGAGGTGGGAGAGAGGAGACAGAGGAGAAGGGAGGAGGAGCAGGAGGCAGGAGGTAGAAGGAGGAGGTGGAGGAGGAGGAAGCAGATGGCTGGAGACCACAGTGCTCTGTCCAAGTCGAGAACGCCTCGCAGGAGGGCTGGGAGTCATATCGTAGCCCCTGGAATTGCGGCTAGGAGTGAGGTCAGCTCCCCACCCCGCACTGGGCCGTGACGTTCCAGCCCCACCGACCCGCCCTCCCGGGTGGGGACGCGCCTCGCGAAGCCAAGGAACGGGCAATGATGGGCCCGGACCCCCTGCTCCCCCAATGCTAACGGGATCGGCCCCCTCCCCCCCCTACCCCCGATGGGTCGACCCCCCTGTGCGTGTGGGGTGGTGCTGCTGTGGAAGCCTCGTGCGGGTGTTCGGTGTCGCCGCCGCTACCGCCGCCGCCGTTGTCGTTGTCGCCGTCGTCGTTCTGGCCGTCGTCGTCGTCGTCGCAGCTAGTCGTCGTCGCCGCCGCCGTCGCCGTCGTCGTTCTAGTCGTCGTTCTAGTCGTCGTCGTCGTCGTCGTCGTCGTCGCCGTCGCCGTCGCCGTCGCCGTCGCCGTCGCCGTCGCCGTCGCCGTCGTCGTCGTCGTCGTCGTCGTCGTCGTCGTCGTCGTCGTCGTCCTCATGGTCGTCGTTCCCCCATCCCACCTCGGGGTGAGGGGGTGGGGGTTCGCAGGGCCCTGGGACCCATCCCATCTGGTGGGGGGGTGGGGCGCGGACCCGAGCCAGGGAGGAGATACCCCACTAGGGATAGAAAATCGGCCAGTGGGGCCAAGGCCATGCCAATGAGGATAGGAA